GGGGCGGAACTACAGTGCCGCCAGACCCCGCAATGCGGGGGGGCCCACGCCATTTAGGGGCCCACGGCCGACCATAAAAAAAATTGTTATAGTTAAAAAAATGTTCTTGCATTTTTGACTTAATGTTTGTTTTGTAAAAAAGATTACCGTGGCTGCGGTTGGATTATCTTTATTCTATAGACACCACCCCACGCTCATTTTTCCTTCGTTTTTAAACCACCGTGAAAGCCGAGTCCTCTTTCTCCTACATTGAAACTTATCAAAGATAAGCAAACGTTCAAACCACTTCCATGACTTATTTCCCTTTTTTAAATAGTCAAATAATGATGCTCATTTTTAATAGATTTGTACTAAACAAATTAAAAAGCAATTACTTCTCTTTATGATTATTTGTTTATAAATTATTTACTAAAGAATGACACTGTATAAAAAGAAAATGTATTTAAAATTAATAAAATAAGTACAAAAAAAACATAAAAATAAACATGACACGAGAAACCATTATTTACAGAAAGCTTTCATGTTTTATATTCTTTTGACCGATAGGAGGTTAAGGGTCGTACGGCAGAGATAATATAAAACTGATTTTCACAAAACAGACTAATGCACTTACGACTTACACTCATGACATGATGTTGTAATTTGTTTTAATTAAAAAAAACACGTATTTCTCATAGCACGAACAGGCCAGCATGAATAAGTATCCTATGTTCGTATGTTGTGTTTGAGTATATATATATATATATATATATATATATATATATATATATATATATATATATATATATATATATATATATATATATATATATATATATATATATATATATATATATATATATATATATATATATATATATATATACATATATAGGCCTATATATTTATATGGGGGGGGGGCCTAAAATTTTTTTTTGCGGGGTAGCCCCTGTTTTCTAGTTCCGCCACTGCAACTATCTGCAAAGTTTTGTAAACAAATTACTATCGATCATGGAGTTCCTGTACAGCCAATCAATGTTTGTCTAACGAAAGTGAAACTAAAAAAAATATTTTTAAGTTCTCTGGATTCGCAACTTTTACAACATTGATCCTAAAAATATTAAATTTCTTATTTCTAGGCTTAAGTTTTTATTTTTTAAAATTATTTTTACGGCCCCTATGAAACTCTACACTTCAGATAACTGTATGCAATGCCCAGAGGCGTATCCAGGTTTTCGTTGTAGGGGGAGCGAAAAGTAATTCTAAAGTAATTATTTATTTGTTTTGACATTTATAATTAAATGTGTAGATATGTACATATTTATATTAAGAGAGTGATTATTTCCCCTATTTCACTTGTCTTAAATAATTTCCCAGGAATTATTATGTAAGAAATTTTTTTTACAAGAATTACAAAACAGATTGTGTTACGTTCGTTGTTTTTGGTTGTAGTGTGTGTATATTTTTTTTTTGTCTAGATTGATACAATTTTTGTTTTGTCGGCCTACATTGTGTGTTTTTTCTTATTTCTTCAGAGTGCTACTTTCAATTTATTTTACATCATAGCGAAGTAATGACATACAGCTAGTAATGATATACTTGTAATTATATATATATATATATATATATATATATATATATATATATATATATATATATATATATATATATATATGTGAGCGGCTGGAGTGTGTTTATCTGTTATTATAATTATTTGTAACTAAGAAGGCGAATGTCGCTTTTTATGTTCCTTTGAGGATTGTTGTGGTTTTTAGTTAAGTAGTCCGCTATTATGGCGCTGATATGATTTTTATTTTAAAATGATTGATAGCCTGGTTATTGTGTCTTGCTTATATTTTGATGTTATTATTTATGCAAACTTTGTTTTGGAGTGTGGCTCCACTTTGCTTTATATCCTGAATGTAAGTTACTGATTATTGTATTAGGGACTATTTTCTTGTGCGTAGCATTGGTTTCTTTGTTCGTAGTATTGGTTTCTTTGTTCGTGAATGTGGTGTGTCGACATGGAGGGACATTCTGCTGGAATGTCGAGGCCTGTGTGTTGAAGAGTTTCTGTGTCACGTTTATGTGGTGTATTGTAACGTAGGGTTATTTTTATAGTGTTTTATTATGTTTTCCATATTTTTGTTTGCTTATTTTGTATACAAAGTGACTATATACTAGATCTATTTAGTCTTGACTTTGAGAAGTTTCAAGGTTCGTTTTATCCAGACCACGTGGTAGCACGATGGCCTGGGTTTAGTCATGGATTATTGTAGATTTTACTTTCATTTATGAGAGCCTCTTGTTTAGGCTGACAATTGTGTCAGCTTACTGCTTTGTATATAACTTTTTTTGTAAAGTAATTAATTTATTTGTTTTCCTTTTTCTAGGACGAAGTCCGAAATTGGGTGTTTTGTTTGATGTAAAAAGTTTGTTTCGTTTGGTTCTGTTTTGTGTCAGTTTTTTATCTATTCTTTTTTTATTACTTTCGGTTCCATATTTTGTTAAATAAATTTTATATTATTGTTAAAAGCTTTTGTCTTATTTTAGTATTTTATTTAGACTAAGGTTAGGTTATTAACCAGTCTGGGTTTATCCGGGCTTGCACTGACCGGACTGTAGTTAGTTAGATAAGCCTAGGGAAGGGTAAGGTAGATTTTAGGTATCCCCCCCTAGCAGGGCTTACATATATATATATATATATATATATATATATATATATATATATATATATATATATATATATATATATATATATATATATAATACACGTATATAGAACGTGTTAAAAAAAAACACAGAAAAAATGTCACAGGAAAAAAAGTCACAAATATATATTTGCATGGAATTTGTTAATACTTTTATGTATTTATTAAATATTCAGAGAGTGCAAATTAACTTAGGATTAATTAAATGTAATGTAATGTGTGCAGGTTGTATACGCATATTAATTTTTATAATTCATCCAAAAGTATTTAGTATGAATTGTAATTATGTTAAACATAATATTAATAGCATTTAATAGAATGCTCCAAAGTCCACGGTTTTCATCGTGTTTTTTTTTTTTTTAAATACCAACACTAAATTACCGTGAAATGGTAAGTTCATCTGCTTTGCCGCCCTCAACTCATCGCAACAATAGTTATGATTAGTTCAACCACCTTTACTGCCCACATTTGCCACGCTCATTACATAACAAAACTTAGGATCAAAACAGAAAGCCAACAAGGTTCAAAGGCTGTCATTGACACAAAACGTCCACAATACACAATATGTTCGGACAATGCCTACTGAGGAGAGGCCGGCCAGAGAATAGCCCACGGAAAAATATATGCAAAACACAATTAACTTTTCTACCGCGTATTTAACTAAATACGTAACAAAAGTTGAGATTTTTGTGTAAATTATCTTAGAGTGTTTTTACTAACAATTGTTATAAACTATAATGCTTTTAACGTCTATAATTTATGCTATAAAAAAATGCAACCCACAGTAATAAACATACACAATTTTACAATTCTTAACAAATAAATCAAAATATTTCTAAAAATGTTTTTGTGACTTTTTTTCTGTGACTTTTTTTCCGATAAAAATTTTCCATTGTGACTTTTTTCCTGTGACTTTTTTTCCTAGCAAAAACTGTGACTTTTTTTCTGTTTTTTTTTCCTGTGACTTTTTTCCGTTCACCACATTATACAGTTGCCTTAAACTTAAAACCCCTCTTGCCAAGTGGTACTACCCGTAGAGGTTTTTTAAATAGTGCAATGCATCGTAATGGTTATTTTTAGAATGGCAAACTGATGCAGCTGTTAATACGTGTTGTAAACGTAGACACTACTAGACTAGTACAATAATGTTTTAATTGCTGCATGAAAAGAAATCTTGTGATTTAGATGTGCCGGCCAAAAATATTTTTTTTAACAAATATCATTGTTTAAAACTTTGAGTTTAAAAAAGTTTCCAAAAAGGCGCCACTTTGCTGAAAATGGCCAGAGGCGGAGCGGCCGCTCCCCCTGCTCCCCCCCCCCCTGCGTACGCTACTGGCAGTGCCGTTTGGAATAGCTGGTCACGTTAAACTCATGACAGACTTGCAAAATGGTGATTTAGAATTGGGACATTTTACCCCAGTGCGGGGTAAAAAAGTCACACATTTTCAAATGTTATACTGTTGAATCTAATTGATCCACAAAACATTTTTTTGCTATTGAAAATAATTTCCCTACTTTCATGAATATTAATAAATGTTATATATATATATATATATATATATATATATATAGGCCTATATATATATATATATATATATATATATATATATATATATATACATATTGAAAGTAGAATAAATTCCACTTCAGGTTACCGGAAATTGCTGAAAAGTTGATACAGAACTACAAATTTGATATAATACTTATTTATGAAATTTCAGCAACCTAGTTGTAACGGTACTCAATTTATCGTGTTCACAGACACACATATACACAAAATGCAAAACTATGTTTTTACGACTCAGGGAGGTGTAAAACATCAAGACTTGTAAAAATCTCGATTTTTTTTTGCACGTTTACAATACTTCCTCTATACTTCGTTTATGAGAAAGTAAAAAGAGTTGTCAAGTCCTCACATTTGTAACTAAAATATTATGTGAACACTTTAAGGTAATAATGGATTACATATTTTATGAGATATACATATGTAAATATTATAGTTGTATAAAGAATGACTTAAAATGTGAAAACATAAATCATCCAAGATCTTAGAATCCTTGAGTTCTGTCAAGTGGCTTGATGTGGTAGGCTGTTACAAGCAGACCCAGAAAAAAAAGGGGGGGGGGGTCTCTGAATCCACCTTTTACTTTTACAAACATTTGAAGAAAAACTCACTGAGATATTGATGATGGTTGTGCCAGTTAAAAAAGTATCACTATCTAGCCCAACTGTCTCCACGTGTGTTTAATGTAGTGGTTGGTAAGATGGCTACCAATTATAACTTACATTGAAACAAGACAAAAAATACAATAAGTTACATACTTCTTTAATGATTTATAAATGCACTTCTACAAATTGTAATTTAGAAAAAGTTTGCACACTAAAGCTGTGTTCAATAAAAAAAATATCAGTCAATGGATAATTTGTTAAAGATTTAAAAAGTGAAAATATCAGATATATCTTACATAAAACATGAAGAGGAAAAAAATAAAAATAAATAAATATATAGATATATATATATAGCACCAGCAAGTACAAAAAACACTTGACTAAATCTCATCATGTACATATAGGCAACTCAAAAAATAAAAACTACAATGCTGGATATTTAAAAATATTTGTCTAAAGTTTCTATTTCCTACTTATTGAAAGTAGAAAGAAATAAAACAAGACAGCAGATCTGGCCCACTGAGTAGAAGGTGGACAACTCTACTGGGTTCATTGAAACGTTAAAAAGCAAACGCTCATGAAATGTTCAACACACTGCAAGTACCACTCATTTAACAGCTGATTGGTAAAGCAGGGTGAAAAAAAAAACATTGAATCAGAAAGGACAGGTGGAGTCTGAAAGGACAGGGGCGGAGTCAGAAAGGACAGGTGGAGTCTGAAAGGACAGGTGGAGTCTGAAAGGACAGGTGGAGTCAGAAAGGACAGGTGTGGAGTCAGAAAGGACAGGGGTGGAGTCAGAAAGGACAGGGGTGGAGTCAGAAAGGACAAGGGTGGAGTCAGAAAGGACAGGGGTGGAGTCAGAAAGGACAGGGGCGTAGTCAGAAAGGGGTGGAGTCAGATCTAGCTTTGGTGTTTCCTGTCATATGAACTTCCAACATCTCCATCTTGTTCTTTATTCAGTCTTCTGCTGATTGAAGTAATTGGTAGCAGACCCAAAGAAAAACTAAAGGGCAGCTGTTAATTCTAGTTCTACAACAATAGTCAATACAAGCAAGATAACAATTGACAGGAAGATACATGAACTTGAATCTACAGAGTAAGGCACAGTCTACTCACTGACTTTTGGTGACCACTCCTAGTGGCAGCATACAAAGTAACCATCTGGTCTAATTTTAGAGCTAACAGATACATTTAATAAAAAGTGTACACTACTTTGATAATTCTATTGCTTTTTTAAGTTAGCTATAGTTGATGTTTTTGAATATTATGTTTCTATACATCCAACAAGTAGATCCAGCAGATTACGAGACAGCTATTATGATGATCATGATGAGAGTGATCAGGGCAGTGAAGCCAATGTGAAGAAACAACATAAATCTCTTAAATCTACGTCCCTGTGGATAGAGAGAAACAACATAAATCTCTTACAGGATCTACCTAACTTAAACAGCATTCAGGTTTTCCTTTTTACTTGTAAATAGTGTAAGTACCACTTCCTATTACTAGAAAATGGCTCAAAAGTTAAGAGAAGCCAAATTTTTTCCACTTATAGAAACTTTACTCAAGTTATCAAGTTCACACACGCACAGAAAGACATACAAACAATCGGCTTGCAAAACAGGGTTCTTTTAACTCAAGAAGGTACAAAACATTAAGATTTGTACAAATTTTGATTTTTTTTTTTTTGCATAATTAAAATATTTTTCTTCTACACTCAATAATTAAGAATAAACCGGAAGTGATCTCCCCTAAACTTTCTCGAATATTCTTATATAAAACAACAGGGGATGGGAACTCGGGATATAGTTATGACTTTTTAATCCATTTTAAATACTTAACTTTTTAAAATAGAATAGCATCTCATAGAAAAAAGAATTGCGCACCAAGCGAATGCCAAATAAAGATGTTCATAATAGTGCGCAATATTATTAGTACTTAATAAAGGTAGAGAATTAGATCTTTTACTTACATGTGAAATTTCATTTATCTATCTGAAATAGTACTCAAGTTATAGGCTTTTGAAAATTTAAAGTAGAAAAAGTACCACTTCCGGTTATCGGAAATCGCTCAAAAGTTGATAGGGATCTACGATTTTGATAAAATACTTATATATGCAATTTCATCAACCCAGCTGTAACGGTACTCAAGTTATCGTGTTTACACACACAGATACACACACACAGACAAGATTGCAAAATTATGTTTTTCCGTATCAATGAGGTGTAAAACGTCTTTTTTTTTGCACGATTACAAGACTTTCTCTATACTTCGTATATATGAGAAAGTAAAAAAGGACTGATTTAAATGATAAACCACATGATATTTGTTTGTCCCACTGTGGGTAACCACATATTTGTTTGTCCTACTGTGGGTAACCACATGATATTTGTTTGTCCAACTGTGGGTAACCACACAACTTTTGTCCCACTGTGGGTAACCACATGACATTTGTCCCACTGTGGGTAACCACATGACATTTGTCCCACTGAGGGTAACCACATGACATTTGTCCCACTGAGGGTAACCACATGACATTTGTCCCACTGTGGGTAACCACATGACATTTGTCCCACTGTGGGTAACCACATGACATTTGTCCCACTGAGGGTAACCACATGACATTTGTCCCACTGTGGGTAACCACATGATATTTGTCCCACTGTGGGTAACCACATGATATTCGTCCCAATGTGAGCTACAATATACTTACAGCTGGCTCAGGCTCTGGGTGGTGCTGCTTTGGATATTCTCTTTTGGTTTGTTCCCACTTCTTTCTTCGTTCTGGGAGAGAAAACAAAATTCTCTTATCACACTGTCACACCTGTCTGGACAATGTGACACACCTGCCTGGACAATGTGACACACCTGTCTGGCCTGCCTGGACAATGTGACACACCTGTCTGGACAATGTGACACACCTGTCTGGACAATGTGACACACCTGTCTGGCCTGTCTGGACAATGTGACACACCTGTCTGGACAATGTGACACACCTGTCTGGCCTGTCTGGACAATGTGACACACCTGTCTGGACAATGTGACACACCTGTCTGGACAATGTGACACACTTGTCTGGATAATGTGACACACCTGTCTGGCCTGCCTGGACAATGTGACACACCTGTCTGGACAATGTGACACCTGTCTGGACAATGTGACACACCTGTCTGGACAATGTGACACACCTGTCTGGACAATGTGACACACCTGTCTGGACAATGTGACACACCTGTCTGGACAATGTGACACACCTGTCTGGACAATGTGACACACCTGTCTGGACAATGTGACACACCTGTCTGGACAATGTGACACACCTGTCTGGACAATGTGACACACCTGTCTGGACAATGTGACACACCTGTCTGGACAATGTGACACACCTGTCTGGACAATGTGACACACCTGTCTGGACAATGTGACACACCTGTCTGGACAATGTGACACACCTGTCTGGACAATGTGACACACCTGTCTGGACAATGTGACACACCTGTCTGGACAATGTGACACACCTGTCTGGACAATGTGACACACCTGTCTGGACAATGTGACACACCTGTCTGGACAATGTGACACACCTGTCTGGACAATGTGACACACCTGTCTGGACAATGTGACACACCTGTCTGGACAATGTGACACACCTGTCTGGACAATGTGACACACTTGTCTGGATAATGTGACACACCTGTCTGGCCTGCCTGGACAATGTGACACACCTGTCTGGACAATGTGACACCTGTCTGGACAATGTGACACACCTGTCTGGACAATGTGACACACCTGTCTGGCCTGTCTGGACAATGTGACACACCTGTCTGGACAATGTGACACACCTGTCTGGACAATGTGACACACCTGTCTGGACAATGTGACACACCTGTCTGGACAATGTGACACACCTGTCTGGAAAATGTGACACACCTGTCTGGACAATGTGACACACCTGTCTGGCCTGCCTGGACAATGTGACACACCTGTCTGGACAATGTGACACACCTGTCTGGACAATGTGACACACCTGTCTGGACAATGTGACACACCTGTCTGGACAATGTGACACACCTGTCTGGACAATGTGACACACCTGTCTGGACAAAGTGACACCTGTCTGGACAATGTGACACATGTCTGGAAAAATGTGACACACCTGTCTGGACAATGTGACACACCTGTCTGGACAATGTGACACCTGTTTGGACAATGTGACACACCTGTCTGGACAAAGTGACACACCGCTCTGGCCTGTCTGGACAATGTGACACACCTGTCTGGACAAAGTGACACACCTGTCTGAACAATGTGACACACCTGTCTGGACAAAGTGACACACCTGTCTGGACAATGTGACACACCTGTCTGGACAATGTGACACACCTGTCTGGACAATGTGACACACCTGTCTGGACAATGTGACACACCTGTCTGGCCTGCCTGGACAATGTGACACACCTGTCTGGACAATGTGACACACCTGTCTGGACAATGTGACACACCTGTCTGGACAATGTGACACCTGTCTGGACAATGTGACACCTGTCTGGACAATGTGACACGCCTGTCTGGACAATGTGACACAATGGCTCTAGAGTTAAAGTGAAATTAATGGCTAGTGTGGGTTATGTAACCATGCAGGTTGTTCTATTCTAATCTAACCAGGCAGGTTGTTGTAATCTAGCCACGCAGGTTGCTGTAATCTAACCACGCAGGTTGTTGTAATCTAACCACGCAGGTTGTTGTAATCTAACCACGCAGGTTGTTGTAATCTAACCACGCAGGTTGTTGTAATCTAGCCACGCAGGTTGTTCTAATCTAGCCACACAGGTTGTTCTAATCTAGCCACACAGGTTGTTCTAATCTAGCCACACAGGTTGTTCTAATCTAACCACGCAGGTTGTTCTAATCTAGCCTCGCAGGTTGTTCTAATCTAGCCATGCAGGTTGTTCTAATCTAACTACGCAGGCTGGCATATATGATTAAAAATTACCCGGGAGTGATCTCCCCTAAAATATCTCGAATATTCTTATATAACACTACAGGGCAACTCGGGATATAGACATTATTGTTAATCCATTTTTAATTAATTAAACTTTTTAAAAATATTTTTAAAATAGAAAATCGCGTAGAAAAAAGAATTGCGCACCATGTGAACCCCAAACAAAATGTGTATAATAGTGCGGAATATTATTAGTACTTTATAAATTCACATGCGTTTTTTGAGAAATCGGAAATAGCGAAAATTACTGCTTCCGTTCAACGGAAATTACTCAAAATTTGAAAGAAGGCAGATAATTAGATCTTTTCCTTATATGTGAAATTTCATTTATCTATCTGAAATAGTACTCAAGTTATAGAATTTTGAAAAATTGAAAGTAGAAAAAGTTCCACTTCCAGTTAACTGAAATCACTGAAAAGTTGATACAGATCTACAATTTGATATAATACTTATAATTGAAATTTCATCAACCTAGATGAAACGGTACTCAAGTTATCGTGTTTACACACAGAGACATACGGACAAGATTGCAAAACTATTTTTTTTCCGACTCAGGGAGGTGTAAAACGTCGAGATTTGCAAAAATCTCGATTTTTTTGTTTTTTGAACAATTACAATACTTTCTCTATTCTTCGTATATGAGAAAGTAAAAACTGGGTTTTACCTTTGTTTTTCTTGTAAGTACAGCACTGGTGAATCTCAAGGGACAGCTCTACAGCAATGTGGAAGATGACCCAGATGACCAGGATCCAGGTGGCCCACCAGGGGACCATCACTTTACCAAAGTCCATGCCAATAAAAATTGTTGGAACTACAACAAAAATAGGATACATAGGTCTTAGTCCACATGACTAACTAAAGGTCTTAGTCTACATGACTAACTAAAGGTCTTAGTCCACATGACTAACTAAAGGTCTTAGTCTACATGACTAACTAAAGGTCTTAGTCCACATGACTAACTAAAGGTCTTAGTCCACATGACTAACTAAAGGTCTTAGTCTACATGACTAACTAAAGGTCTTAGTCCACATGACTAACTAAAGGTCTTAGTCCACATGACTAACTAAAGGTCTTAGTCCACATGACTAACTAAAGGTCTTAGTCCACATGACTAACTAAAGGTCTTAGTCTACATGACTAACTAAAGGTCTTAGTCCACATGACTAACTAAAGGTCTTAGTCCAAATGACTAACTAAAGGTCTTAGTCCACATGACTAACTAAAGGTCTTAGTCCATATGACTAACTAAAGGTCTTAGTCCACATGACTAAACTAAAGGTCTTAGTCCACATGACTAAACTAAAGGTCTTAGTCCACATGACTAACTAAAGGTCTTAGTCCACATGACTAACTAAAGGTCTTAGTCCACATGACTAACTAAAGGTCTTAGTCCACATGACTAACTAAAGGTCTTAGTCCACATGAATAACTAAAGGTCTTAGTCCACATGACTAACTAAAGGTCTTAGTCCACATGACTAACTAAAGGTCTTAGTCCACATGACTAACTAAAGGTCTTAGTCCACATGACTAACTAAAGGTCTTAGTCCACATGACTAACTAAAGGTCTTAGTCCACATGACTAACTAAAGGTCTTAGTCCACATGACTAACTAAAGGTCTTAGTCCACATGACTAACTAAAGGTCTTAGTCCACATGACTAACTAAAGGTCTTAGTCCACATGACTAACTAAAGGTCTTAGTCCACATGACTAACTAAAGGTCTTAGTCCACATGACTAACTAAAGGTCTTAGTCCACATGACTAACTAAAGGTCTTAGTCCACATGACTAACTAAAGGTCTTAGTCCACATGAATAACTAAAGATCTTAGTCCACATGACTAACTAAAGGTCTTAGTCCATATGACTAACTAAAGGTCTTAGTCCATATGGCAACTAAAGGTCTTAGTCCACATGACTAAACTAAAGGTCTTAGTCCACATGACTAACTAAAGGTCTTAGTCCACATGACTAACTAAAGGTCTTAGTCCACATGACTAACTAAAGGTCTTAGTCCACATGACTAACTAAAGGTCTTAGTCCACATGAATAACTAAAGGTCTTAGTCCACATGACTAACTAAAGGTCTTAGTCCACATGACTAACTAAAGGTCTTAGTCCACATGACTAACTAAAGGTCTTAGTCCACATGACTAACTAAAGGTCTTAGTCCACATGACTAACTAAAGCTCTTAGTCCACATGACTAACTAAAGGTCTTAGTCCACATGACTAACTAAAGGTCTTAGTCCACATGACTAACTAAAGGTCTTAGTCCACATGACTAACTAAAGGTCTTAGTCCACATGACTAACTAAAGGTCTTAGTCCACATGACTAACTAAAGGTCTTAGTCCACATGACTAACTAAAGGTCTTAGTCCACATGACTAACTAAAGGTCTTAGTCCACATGACTAACTAAAGGTCTTAGTCCACATGACTAACTAAAGGTCTTAGTCCACATGACTAACTAAAGGTCTTAGTCCACATGACTAACTAAAGGTCTTAGTCCACATGACTAACTAAAGGTCTTAGTCCACATGACTAACTAAAGGTCTTAGTCCACATGACTAACTAAAGGTCTTAGTCCACATGACTAAACTAAAGGTCTTAGTCCACATGACTAACTAAAGGTCTTAGTCCACATGACTAACTAAAGGTCTTAGTCCACATGACTAACTAAAGGTCTTAGTCCACATGACTAACTAAAGGTCTTAGTCCACATGACTAACTAAAGGTCTTAGTCCACATGACTAACTAAAGGTCTTAGTCCACATGACTAACTAAAGGTCTTAGTCCACATGACTAACTAAAGGTCTTAGTCCACATGACTAACTAAAGGTCTTAGTCCACATGACTAACTAAAGGTCTTAGTCCACATGACTAACTAAAGGTCTTAGTCCACATGACTAACTAAAGGTCTTAGTCCACATGACTAACTAAAGGTCTTAGTCCACATGACTAACTAAAGGTCTTAGTCCACATGACTAACTAAAGGTCTTAGTCCACATGACTAACTAAAGGTCTTAGTCCACATGACTAACTAAAGGTCTTAGTCTACATGACTAACTAAAGGTCTTAGTCCACATGACTAACTAAAGGTCTTAGTCCACATGACTAACTAAAGGTCTTAGTCCACATGACTAACTAAAGGTCTTAGTCCACATGACTAACTAAAGGTCTTAGTCCACATGACTAACTAAAGGTCTTAGTCCACATGACTAACTAAAGGTCTTAGTCCACATGACTAACTAAAGGTCTTAGTCCACATGACTAACTAAAGGTCTTAGTCCACATGACTAACTAAAGGTCTTAGTCCACATGACTAACTAAAGGTCTTAGTCCACATGACTAACTAAAGGTCTTAGTCCACATGACTAACTAAAGGTCTTAGTCCACATGAATAACTAAAGGTCTTAGTCCACATGACTAACTAAAGGTCTTAGTCCACATGACTAACTAAAGGTCTTAGTCCATATGACTAACTAAAGGTCTTAGTCCATATGGCAACTAAAGGTCTTAGTCCACATGACTAAACTAAAGGTCTTAGTCCACATGACTAACTAAAGGTCTTAGTCTACATGACTAACTAAAGGTCTTAGTCCACATGACTAACTAAAGGTCTTAGTCCACATGACTAACTAAAGGTCTTAGTCCATATGGCAACTAAAGGTCTTAGTCCACATGAATAACTAAAGGTCTTAGTCCACATGACTAACTAAAGGTCTTAGTCCACATGACTAACTAAAGGTCTTAGTCCACATGACTAACTAAAGGTCTTAGTCCACATGACTAACTAAAGGTCTTAGTCCACATGACTAACTAAAGGTCTTAGTCCATATGGCAACTAAAGGTCTTAGTCCATATGGCAACTAAAGGTCTTAGTCCACATGACTAACTAAAGGTCTTAGTCCACATGACTAACTAAAGGTCTTACTACTTAGTCCTCAGGATGGAAAGTCAATGCTAACTATAGGTTTGAGCCAATAGAAATGACTTACTAGAAAGCACATTGGCGATGGTCCCAAAGGCCCAGTGAAACCAGTTGAAGACTGGTCGACATTTGCTGTCCTCTTGTGGCCGGATCAAGGCTAGCACAGGCTGGAGGTCAACATTTCATGTTGGTTTACATTTGCAGTTTGGATAGGCACAAGTCAAAATTGGATATTTTAAAGATCAATTATCAAAAATCACTTTACACAAAATAAAGCAATTTTTCAAAATAAATATTAGGACATTTACTTTTTGCTAGCTTATCATATTTGGATACATAGCCATCTCCAGTACTAAGGAAATAAGTCCCTTGTGAATCCAGCTCACTTATTTGCTAGTAACTAATACTGTCTGTGCTTATTTATTAAATACAGTAATCTTTATAATAGTAATTAAATGATTACTTTTTAAGTCTACTTAGATTTAAGACTTTTGTTTTTCATTAGATAGGAATTTCTGTGTAAAGTTTGCAAGAAATTGCAAATAATTTCAAGGATTTGGTTACTTACATTGATGATGATACAGATGAAGATGATAATACCCAGGATAGGATGGGCTCTTTGCGGCAAGTCTGGAGCCTGTAGAAACACATTTTTTTCAAGTTTATTTCATCATTTCATTATGGATAACTTTGGATTTAAAATGGATACATTCAATATGGATTCAAAAATTTAGGAAAAACTATTGACATCCTTGATATATTTCTGTTTAAAATCACTGACTGGGTAGCTGTTCATCCAATACATGAATGATACACTTACCTAAACCATCAGCATCTATCTAGAGATATAAAAATGGAAGTAAGTCTATCTGTCTGTTATGCATTGATCTGATCACCATCAAACTTTGGGAGGTTGTTAAGACTATTTCTGCTCACATGGGGCCTGCTGATTGGGCACTACTAGAGTAGTACTTGATTCAACTTTAAGCTGTACAAGGGGTGTCCTCTGACAGTCATGTGACGCTGTGCAGGCTCACCCAGCAGTACTATGGCAAATATCTTGGTTTTTACATATCATCTAGTCCTACAATATCTTGGTTTTTACATATCTAGTCCTACAATATATTGGTTTTTACATATCATCTAGTCCTACAATATCTTGGTTTTTACATATCATCTAGTCCTACAATATATTGGTTTTTACATATCATCTAGTCCTACAATATCTTGGTTTTTACATATCATCTAGTCCTACAATATCTTGGTTTTTACACATCTAGTCCTACAATATCTTGGTTTTTAAATATCTAGTCCTACAATATATTGGTTTTTACATATCATCTAGTCCTACAATATCTTGGTTTTTAAATATCTAGTCCTACAATATCTTGGTTTTTACATATCTAGTCCTACAATATCTTGGTTTTTACATATCATCTAGTCCTACAATATCTTGGTTTTTACATATCTAGTCCTACAATATCTTAGTTTTTACATATCATCTAGTCCTACAATATCTTGGTTTTTACACATCTAGTCCTACAATATCTTGGTTTTTACACATCTAGTCCTACAATATCTTGGTTTTTAAATATCTAGTCCTACAATATCTTGGTTTTTACATATTATCTAGTCCTACAATATCTTGGTTTTTACATATCTAGTCCTACAATATCTTGGTTTTTACACATCTAGTCCTACAATATCTTGGTTTTTACATATCTAGTCCTACAATATCTTGGTTTTTACACATCTAGTCCTACAATATCTTGGTTTTTACATATCTAGTCCTACAATATCTTGGTTTTTACATATCTAGTCCTTCAAATATCTTGGTTTTTACACATCTAGTCCTACAATATCTTAGTTTTTACACATCTAGTCCTACAATATCTTGGTTTTTACATATCTAGTCCTACAATATCTTGGTTTTTACACATCTAGTCCTACAATATCTTGGTTTTTAAATATCTAGTCCTACAATATCTTGGTTTTTACATATCTAGTTCTTCAAATATCTTGGTTTTTACATATCTAGTCCTTCAAATATCTTGGTTTTTACATATCATTTAGTCCTTCAAATATCTTGGTTTTTACATATCTAGTCCTTCAAATATCATTAAGGAAAAGTTCTACTTCCGAAAATAAATTCAAGGCTATTTTAAACCAGCAAAAAAAAAACTAGCAACTTTTCAAATTTTTTATATTGTAAAGTCTGAAAGTCACTGTTCTAAATTCCAGACTTTTTACAGACTGCATACAAATCAGTTTGTATAGAGGGCAGTGCCTGTCAGAACCAGCGCTTACCTCACTATAGCCATCCGCCTCCACAAATATGAGAATAATGCCAATGACTGTGATTATGAACATGCTTGCCATACAGTTGAAGTGACCCTGAAAGCATTTGGACTCAATAAGTTGAGTAACTTTTCCAAAGCATTTAAACTGCACTTTAGCTCAATCATTTCATGCTTAAGTATCAGAAAATCAAGAACACTTACAAACATCAAGAAAACTTACAAACATCAAGAAAACTTACAAACATCAAGAACACTTACAAACATCAAGAACACTTACAAACATCAAGAACACTTACAACCATCAAGAACACTTACAAACATCAAGAAAACTTACAAACAAACATCAAGAAAACTTACAAACATCAAGAAAACTTACAAACATCAAGAAAACTTACAAACATCAAGAAAACGTACAAACATAAAGAAAACGTACAAACATCAAGAAAATGTACAAACATCAGGAAAACTTACAAACATCAAGAACACTTACAAACATCAAGAATACTTACAAACATCAAGAAAACTTACAAACATCAAGAACACCTACAAACATAAACAACACTTAATAAGAACCAAGAACAGTAACAAACATCAAGAACACTTACAAAATTAAACAACACTTATAAGCATCAAGAACACCTACAAACATAAACAACACTTACAAACATAAACAACACTTACAAACAAAAACAACACTTACAAACAAAAACAACACTTACAAACATAAACAACACTTACAAACACAAACAACACTTACAAACACAAACAACACTTACAAACAAAAACAACACTTACAAACATAAACAACACTTACAAACATAAACAACACTTACAAACACCAAGAACACCTACAAACATCAAGAACATCTACAAACATAAACAACACTTACAAAGAACCAAGAACAGTTACAAACATAAAGAACATTTACAAACATAAAGAACACTTACAAACATAAAGAACACCTACAAACATAAACAACACTTACAAACATCAAGAACACCTACAAACATCAACAACACTTACAAAGAACCAAGAACACTTACAAAGAACCAAGAACACTTACAAAGAACCAAGAACAGTTACAAACATAAATAACACTTACAAAGAACCAAGAACAGTTACAAACATCAAGAACACCTACAAACATAAACAACACTTACAAAGAACCAAGAACAGTTACAAAGAACCAAGAACACTTACAAACATCAAGAACACTTACAAACATCAAGAAAACCTACAAATATAAACAACACTTACAAAGAACCAACAAAACTTACAAACATCAAGAACACCTACAAACATAATCAACACTTACAAACATCAAGAACACCTACAAACATAAACAACACTTACAAGCATCAAGAACACCTACAAACATAAACAACACTTACAAGCATCAAGAACACCTACAAACATAAACAACACTTAAACACATAAAGAACACCTACAAACATAAACAACACTTACAAAGAACCAAGAACAGTTACAAACATAAAGAACACTTACAAACATAAACAACACAAACATCAAGAACACCTACAAACATAAACAACACCTACAAACATCAAGAACACTTACAAACATCAAGAACACCTACAAACATAAACAACACTTACAAACATCAAGAACACCTACAAACAAAAAAAAACACTTACAAACATAAACAACACTTACAAACATAAACAACACTTACAAACATAAACAACACTTACAAACATAAACAACACTTACAAAGAACCAACAACACTTACAAACATCAAGAACATCTACAAACATAAACAACACTTACAAAGAACCAAGAACACTTACAAAGAACCAAGAACACTTACAAAGAACCAAGAACAGTTACAAACATAAATAACACTTACAAAGAACCAAGAACAGTTACAAACATCAAGAACACCTACAAACATAAACAACACTTACAAAGAACCAAGAACAGTTACAAAGAACCAAGAACAGTTACAAACATAAAGAACACTTACAAACATAAAGAACACAAACATCAAGAACACCTACAAACATAAACAACAAACATAAACAACACTTACAAACATAAAGAACACTTACAAACATAAACAATACTTACAAAGAACCAACAACACTTACAAACATCAAGAACATCTACAAACATAAACAACACTTACAAAGAACCAAGAACACTTACAAAGAACTAAGAACAGTTACAAACATCAAGAACATCTACAAACATAAACAACACTTACAAAGAACCAGTATTTCTGCTCAAAGATCCTCTTGTTTGGCCACATAGGTTTGTAGTATTTAGTCAACAACATACCCAAAGAAGCAAAAAACACCCATGCCAAGATCATCAGACACCCTGAAAATAAATTTATTGCCAGGAAATGTGTTTAGTCAATCCTTAAGTTCAATCCCAAAATCAAAACAAACTAAAATATTTTAAAATCCCTAACATTAGAGTCGCTCCAAAGAAGGTTAGATATTTACACTTATTCATTACTTTTTAAGATTTGGATACATATCAATCAAATGTTCAATATCCAGCCCTTTAATTTTCTTCTTCTTCGTTCTTAATTTTAGTGTTGATAGGGGTACCCTCCAACATTAATAAGTATATGTGTCAACTGGTTATGCACCATTGAGGCCACTGACTCCGATTTCAGCTTGCTTTTTGGATTTGCTTCCATAGCCTTTTTCCAACCAAGAACAAACTACAAGGCAGCAGTTGTTTGATTTTGGAGTTGTCTCTCCTAGAAGAGTGGCTGTCCCCAGCGAACGAGCCTCATCTGCCCAAGGGTTCGAACTCGAGACTTTTTGGTTTAGCAACCATGAGCATTTACAGACTCAACCACGCTGACCCCTAGACCTTTGATGACTATGAACTTTGCAAGAATCTTTAAACTAAAAAAAGTATAAAAGAGATTATGCATAAAAAAAAAAAAAAAAAAAAAAACTCACGATCCATCTGTACTACTAGGAATATTAGAGTATTTCTAGTAGTTGTGCCACTCCCTAAAAACCTATATTATACTGAATGATGTAATTTTTAGGAAAATTGTATTTATTATTACAGAGGGAATATAGGTGTTAACACTTGCTTTTAATTTTCTACCCTAAAAATTGATCGAATAATTTTTTAGAACAAAAATAAACCTAAATTCAACAGTAGAAGAAGAAATAAACTGGGAGTGATCTCCCCTAAACTTTCTCGAAGTCTTATATGACTCAGAAGACAAGATTTTTAATTACTTAAATTTAAAAAAATAGAATAGAATCTCGTAGAAAAAAGAATTGCGCACCAAGCGAGCGCCAAAACAAAATGTGCATAATAGTGCACAATATTATTAGTACTCTATAAATTTACATGTGTTTTTTTGAGAAATCGGAAATAGCGTAAATTAGAACTTCAGTTCAACGGAAATTACTCAAAATTTGAAACAAGGTAGAGAATTAGATCTTTTACTTACATGTGAAATTTCATTTATCTATCTGAAATAGTAATCAAGTTATAGGCTTTTGAAAAATTCAAAGTAGAAAAAGTACCACTTCCGGTTATCGGAAATCGCTCAAAAGTTGATCAGGATCTACGATTTTGATAAAATACTTATATATGAAATTTCATCAACCTAGCTGTATTGTTGAGTATTTGAAACAACTGTTAAGTCAATCAATGACAAATTGACGCTATTAGGCAAAATGGGAAGGGGTGACACCAATTGCAACTATATATAGGCCTATGTAGACCTGTATATGTATATATATATATATATATATATATATATATATATATATATATATATATATATATATATATATATATATATATATATTATATATATATATACACACACACACACATATATATACATACATATATTCACATATATTTATATATATATAAGTGTGTGTGACACCATTAGATGTCACACCGGGTGACACCTGACCTAGCGACGTCACTGCCTGAATTAAACAGCGCTTGGATGAGCAAATACTAACCATGAGCTTTAGCCAGGGGGTATCTTGCTCTGCCAAAGTAATTTGACATTCTGGACAGATCAACTTTTTGAGCACTGGCCAAAGGTAATTCTTCAACACTTAAACCATGGCGGTTTGGACTTCCTGGTGAACAAAAAACATATCCATTATGTCAGTTATAGAAACAGGTAACCTATCAAATAGCTAAACAAAAAACATATCCATTATGTCAGTTATAGAAACAGGTAACCTATCAAATAGCTAAACAAAAAACATATCCATTATGTCAGTTATAGAAACAGGTAACCTATCAAATAGCTAAACAAAAAACATATCCATTATGTCAGTTATAGAAACAGGTAACCTATCAAATAGCTAAACTACCACACATAATACAATGTCCTACAAATATCTAAACTACCACACATAATACAATGTCCTACAAATATCTAAACTACCACACATAATACAATGTCCTACAAATATCTGAACTACCACACATAATACAATGTCCTACAAATATCTAAACTACCACACATAATGCAATGTCCTAAAAATATCTAAACTACCACACATAATACAATGTCCTACAAATATCTAAACTACCACACATAATACAACGTCCTACAAATATCCAAACTACCACACATAATACAATGTCCTACAAATATCTGAACTACCACACATAATACAATGTCCTACAAATATCTAAACTACCACACATAATACAATGTCCTACAAATATCTGAACTACCACACATAATACAATGTCCTACAAATATCTAAACTACCACACATAATGCAATGTCCTAAAAATATCTAAACTACCACACATAATACAATGTCCTACAAATATCTAAACTACCACACATAATACAATGTCCTACAAATATCTAAACTACCACACATAATACAATGTCCTACAAATATCTAAACTACCACACATAATACAATGTCCTACAAATATCTAAACTACCACACATAATACAATGTCCTACAAATATCTAAACTACCACACATAATACAATGTCCTACAAATATCTAAACTACCACACATAATACAATGCCCTACAAATATCTAAACTACCACACATAATACAATGTCCTACAAATATCTAAACTACCACACATAATACAATGTCCCTACAAATATCTAAACTACCACACATAATACAATGTCCTAAAAATATCTAAACTACCACACATAATACAATGTCCTACAAATATCTAAACTACCACACATAATACAATGTCCTACAAATATCTAAACTACCACACATAATACAATGTCCTACAAATATCTAAACTACCACACATAATACAATGTCCTACAAATATCTAAACTACCACACATAATACAATGTCCTACAAATATCTAAACTACCACACATAATACAATGTCCTACAAATATCTAAACTACCACACATAATACAATGTCCTACAAATATCTAAACTACCACACATAATACAATGCCCTACAAATATCTAAACTACCACACATAATACAATGTCCTACAAATATCTAAACTACCACACATAATACAATGTCCCTACAAATATCTAAACTACCACACATAATACAATGTCCTAAAAATATCTAAACTACCACACATAATACAATGTCCTACAAATATCTAAACTACCACACATAATACAATGTCCTACAAATATCTAAACTACCACACATAATACAATGTCCTACAAATATCTAAACTACCACACATAATACAATGTCCTACAAATATCTAAACTACCACACATAATACAACGTCCTACAAATATCTAAACTACCACACATAATACAATGTCCTACAAATATCTAAACTACCACACATAATACAATGTCCTACAAATATCTAAACTACCACACATAATACAATGTCCTACAAATATCTAAACTACCACACATAATACAATGTCCTACAAATATCTAAACTACCACACATAATACAATGTCCTACAAATATCTAAACTGCCACACAAAAAACGTCCTTCATGCCTAACCTCTAGTAGCAAAGCCACGGGAAAACAGCAAGTGTACCGGCCCACCACGCAAGGGACGAAGTTCTTTCCTCAGTCGATCTAGGTCACGTGTAATGTTAAAACGACACCGTAGGCGGCCATTGTCATAAGAACCTTCTTCATTAAGTAGAACACTATAGGAAAGCTTCTGTGACTAGAAGAGAGGGGACAAAGCTAATGGATTGGTCAAATCAATAATAATGGATTGGTCAAATCAATAATAATGGATTGGTCAAATCAATAATAATGGATTGGTCAAATCAATAATAATGGATTGGTCAAATCAATAATAATGGATTGGTCAAATCAATAATAATGGATTGGTCAAATCAATAATAATGGATTGGTCAAATCAATAATAATGGATTGGTCAAATCAATAATAATGGATTGGTCAAATCAATAATAATGGATTGGTCAAATCAATAATAATGGATTGGTCAAATCAATAATAATGGATTGGTCTAATCAATAATAATGGATTGGTCAAATCAATAATAATGGATTTCTTTTAAGTCCTCCTTATATAAGCTATTCCTTGTCTATGTTACTTTACTTAACAGACTTAGATTAGAAGCTTGAAATGATCTTTGTTTAAATAGGGCCAACTCACATCTCCGACATATTTCTCAATCGGGTGATTAGATTTAGGATCTTGTTTGTTGTAGGACAAAAACATTTCCGTCTTGTCATTAGCTGAGTTATGTGCACATGTCATTACAGTGTCATCTCCCTGAAAACAATTTCAAAATTCTCATGGACAAAAAAATATTCATAACAAAATATTATTGTAGCTTCTCTGTTGACCAAAATGTTACAAAGGTCCTAAAGAGTGTGGCAATATGTCCTAAAGAATGTGACCTACCATATATTTGTCATCAGATAAGCCTACTGCTACATATCTATCATTGGAGCCATCAGCCAAGCCACCCAACTCAAAGGAGACATGACTGGCATAGGTCATCCAAGTCAGGATGTACAAACACTGGGGCTCTATACAGCCAGCTGGTTCACGGTAGCAGCCCTTGCTCTCTCCACAACGGTCAGTGCTGATAGGACTTATGGACTGAAAACATCAATGAGTAATGACTAAAGCATGACTGTTAGGACATGTAGCACACAAACCATCACAGGACATTTAGCACACAAACCATCACAGGACATTTAGCACACAAACCATGACAGGACATGTAGCACACAAACTATGACAGTCAGGACATGTAGCACACAAACTATGACAGTCAGGACATGTAGCACACAAACTATGACAGTCAGGACATGTAGCACACAAACTATGACAGTCAGGACATGTAGCACACAAACCATGACAGGACATGTAGCACAAAAACTATGACAGTCAGGACATGTAGCACACAAACTATGACAGGACATTTAGCACACAAACCATCACAGGACATTTAGCACACAAACCATGACAGGACATTTAGCACACAAACCATGACAGGACATGTAGCACACAAACTATGACAGTCAGGACATGTAGCACACAAAATATGACAGTCAGGACATGTAGCACACAAACCATGACAGGACATGTAGCACAAAAACTATGACAGTCAGGACATGTAGCACACAAACTATGACAGTCAGGACATGTAGCACACAAACTATGACAGTCAGGACATGTAGCACACAAACTATGACAGTCAGGACATGTAGCACACAAACCATCACAGGACATGTAGCACAAAAACTATGACAGTCAGGACATGTAGCACACAAACTATGACAGTCAGGACATGTAGCACAAAAACTATGACAGTCAGGACATGTAGCACACAAACTATGACAGGACATGTAGCACACAAACCATGACAGTCAGGACATTTAGCACACAAACTATGACAGTCAGGACATGTAGCACATAAACCATCACAGGACATGTAGCACACAAACTATGACAGTCAGGACATTTAGCACACAAACCATGACAGGACATGTAGCACACAAACCATGACAGTCAGGACATGTAGCACACAAACCATGACAGTCAGGACATGTAGCACACAAACTATGACAGTCAGGACATGTAGCACAAGAACTATGACAGTCAGGACATGTAGCACACAAACTATGACAGTCAGGACATTTAGCACACAAACCATGACAGGACATGTAGCACACAAACCATGACAGGACATGTAGCACACAAACTATGACAGTCAGGACATGTAGCACACAAACCATCACAGGACATTTAGCACACAAACCATGACAGGACATGTAGCACACAAACCATGACAGGACATGTAGCACACAAACTATGACAGTCAGGACATGTAGCACACAAACCATGACAGTCAGGACATGTAGCACACAAACTATGACAGTCAGGACATGTAGCACACAAACTACGACAGTCAGGACATGTAGCACACAAACCATGACAGTCAGGACATGTAGCACACAAACTATGACAGGACATATAGCACACAAACTATGACAGGACATGTAGCACACAAATTATGACAGTCAGGACATGTAGCACACAAACCATGACAGGACATGTAGCACACAAACTATGACAGTCAGAACATGTAGCACACAAACTATGACAGTCAGGACATGTAGCACACAAACCATGACAGTCAGGACATGTAGCACACAAACTATGACAGTCAGGACATGTAGCACACAAACTATGACAGGACATTTAGCACACAAACTATGACAGTCAGGACATTTAGCAAACAAACTATGACAGTCAGGACATGTAGCACACAAACCATGACAGGACATGTAGCACACAAACTATGACAGTCAGGACATGTAGCACACAAACTATGACAGTCAGGACATGTAGCACACAAACTATGACAGTCAGGACATGTAGCACACAAACTATGACAGTCAGGACATGTAGCACACAAACCATCACAGGACATTTAGCACACAAACCATGACAGGACATGTAGCACACAAACCATGACAGGACATGTAGCACACAAACTATGACAGTCAGGACATGTAGAACACAAACTATGACAGTCAGGACATGTAGCACACAAACTATGACAGTCAGGACATGTAGCACACAAACTATGACAGTCAGGACATGTAGCACACAAACAATGACAGTCAGGACATGTAGCACACAAACTATGACAGTCAGGACATTTAGCACACAAACCATGACAGGACATGTAGCACACAAACTATGACAGTCAGGACATGTAGCACACAAACTATGACAGTCAGGACATGTAGCACACAAACTATGACAGTCAGGACATGTAGCACACAAACCATGACAGGACTGGTAGCACACAAACTATGACAGTCAGGACATGTAGCACACAAACTATGACAGTCAGGACATGTAGCACACAAACCATGACAGGACATGTAGCACACAAACCATGACAGGACATGTAGCACACAAACTATGACAGTCAGGACATGTAGCACACAAACCATCACAGGACATGTAGCACACAAACTATGACAGTCAGGACATTTAGCACACAAACTATGACAGTCAGGACATGTAGCACACAAACCATGACAGGATATGTAGCACACAAACCATGACAGGACATGTAGCACACTAACCATGACAGTCAGGACATGTAGCACACAAACCATGACAGTCAGGACATGTAGCACACAAACTATGACAGTCAGGACATGTAGCACACAAACTATGACAGTCAGGACATGTAGCACACAAACTATGACAGTCAGGACATGTAGCACACAAACCATGACAGGACATGTAGCACAAAAACTATGACAGTCAGGACATGTAGCACACAAACTATGACAGTCAGGACATGTAGCACACAAAATATGACAGTCAGGACATGTAGCACACAAACCATGACAGGAAATGTAGCACAAAAACTATGACAGTCAGGACATGTAGCACACAAACTAAGACAGTCAGGACATGTAGCACACAAACTATGACAGTCAGGACATGTAGCACACAAACTATGACAGTCAGGACATGTAGCACACAAACCATGACAGGACATGTAGCACAAAAACTATGACAGTCAGGACATGTAGCACACAAACTATGACAGGACATTTAGCACACAAACCATCACAGGACATTTAGCACACAAACCATGACAGGACATTTAGCACACAAACCATGACAGGACATGTAGCACACAAACTATGACAGTCAGGACATGTAGCACACAAACTATGACAGTCAGGACATGTAGCACACAAACCATGACAGTCAGGACATGTAGCACAAAAACTATGACAGTCAGGACATTTAGCACACAAACTATGACAGTCAGGACATGTAGCACACAAACCATGACAGTCAGGACATGTAGCACACAAACCATGACAGGACATGTAGCACACAAACCATGACAGGACATGTAGCACACAAACTATGACAGGACATGTAGCACACAAACCATGACAGTCAGGACATGTAGCACAAAAACTATGACAGTCAGGACATGTAGCACACAAACTATGACAGTCAGGACATGTAGCACACAAACCATGACAGTCAGGACATTTAGCACACAAACCATGACAGTCAGGACATTTAGCACACAAACTATGACAGTCAGGACATGTAGCACACAAACTATGACAGTCAGGACATGTAGCACACAAACCATGACAGTCAGGACATGTAGCACACAAACTATGACAGTCAGGACATGTAGCACACAAACCATGACAGGACATGTAGCACAAAAACTATGACAGTCAGGACATGTAGCACACAAACTATGACAGTCAGGACATGTAGCACACAAACTATGACAGTCAGGACATGTAGCACACAAACTATGACAGTCAGGACATGTAGCACACAAACCATGACAGGACATGTAGCACAAAAACTATGACAGTCAGGACATGTAGCACACAAACTATGACAGTCAGGACATGTAGCACACAAACTATGACAGGACATGTAGCACACAAACCATGACATGACATGTAGCACACAAACTATGACAGTCAGGACATTTAGCACACAAACCATGACAGTCAGGACATTTAGCACACAAACTATGACAGTCAGGACATGTAGCACACAAACTATGACAGTCAGGACATGTAACACACAAACCATCACAGGACATTTAGCACACAAACCATGACAGGACATTTAGCACACAAACCCACCCTCTGTCTTGAAGAGTCAGGTGGTGGAACTGGGGCCAGTGGGTCAAGAATGAGCCTGGATTTCTCTGACACCCAGAAGGTATCATCATCAACCACAAATGTTGCTCTGGTCAAAAAGAAACATTTTATTTTCATGGGTACAATTAAATGTATGTTGTGGGTGCAGTGTTTAAGAAAAATTTGAAAATATTTACCTGAATTCCACATGACCATAGTTTCCATTAGCTTCCCATACAAAGCGGAGATTGTTCTTTGGTTTCATATCCTGGCTAACAATGACACTCTGTCACGATAGACAACAAACACATGAACATTTTAAAACATTCAAAAAGATAGACAACAAACACATGAACATTTTAAAACATTCAAAAAGATAGACAACAAACACATGAACATTTTAAAACATTCAAAAAGATAGACAACAAACACATGAACATTTTAAAACATTCAAAAAGATAGACAACAAACACATGAACATTTTAAAACATTCAAAAAGATAGACAACAAACACATGAACATTTTAAAACATTCAAAAAGATAGACAACAAACACATGAACATTTTAAAACATTCAAAAAGATAGACAACAAACACATGAACATTTTAAAACATTCAAAAAGATAGACAACAAACACATGAACATTTTAAAACATTCAAAAAGATAGACAACAAACACATGACTTACAGGCATGGGCATGTCTGCCTGTACATTACTTACAGGGCAGGACAGTGGGCATGTCTGCCTGTACATGACTTACAGGGCATGGGCATGTCTGCCTGTACATGACTTACAGGGCATGGGCATGTCTGCCTGTACATGACTTACAGGGCAGGACAGTGGGCATGTCTGCCTGTACATGACTTACAGGGCAGGACAGTGGGCATGTCTGCCTGTACATGACTTACAGGCATGGGCATGTCTGCCTGTACATGACTTACAGGGCAGGACAGTGGGCATGTCTGCCTGTACATGACTTACAGGGCAGGACAGTGGGCATGTCTGCCTGTACATGACTTACAGGGCATGGGCATGTCTGCCTGTACATGACTTACAGGGCAGGACAGTGGGCATGTCTGCATGTACATGACTTACAGGGCAGGACAGTGGGCATGTCTGCCTGTACATGACTTACAGGGCAGGACAGTGGGCATGTCTGCCTGTACATGACTTACAGGGCATGTCTGCATGTACATGACTTACAGGGCATGGGCATGTCTGCCTGTACATGACTTACAGGGCATGGGCATGTCTGCCTGTACATGACTTACAGGGCAGGACAGTGGGCATGTCTGCCTGTACATGACTTACAGGGCAGGACAGTGGGCATGTCTGCCTGTACATGACTTACAGGGCAGGACAGTGGGCATGTCTGCCTGTACATGACTTACAGGGCATGGGCATGTCTGCCTGTACATGACTTACAGGGCAGTGGGCATGTCTGCCTGTACATGACTTACAGCAGTTCGTCTGTTTCCTCCTACAATTCCTTCACTACAATCTTGCTTGACCAGGAAGTCTTGGTTAGGCAGCAACTTGAACTGACCCACTGGCTTGTTGCCCACTTTGTATGGTATGGTGTAAGCACCAAGCATGAAGGAGCGAAAACTGTGACCTGCCTCGGCCAGCAAATTAACTGATACAGAGAGAAACAATTCAATCATATTAAATACAGGCAATGGTTCCAGCAAATTAACTGATACAGAGAGAAACAATTTAATCATATTAAATACAGGCAATGGTTCCAGCAAATTAACTGATACAGAGAGAAACAATTTAATCATATTAAATACAGGCAATGGTTCCAGCAAATTAACTGATACAGAGAGAAACAATTCAATCATATTAAATACAGGCAATGATTCCAGCAAATTAACTGATACAGAGAGAAACAATTCAATCATATTAAATACAGGCAATGGTTCCAGCAAATTAACTGATACAGAGAGAAACAATTTAATCATATTAAATACAGGCAATGATTCCAGCAAATTAACTGATACAGAGAGAAACAATTCAATCATATTAAATACAGGCAATGGTTCCAGCAAATTAACTGATACAGAGAGAAACAATTCAATCATATTAAATACAGGCAATGGTTCCAAAACAATTTTACAGCTTTACTGATGGCCAGAAAAACGTTTTTCCTGCTTTCATTTTTGACAGTTTTGGTTTTTAAACATTCTTTAAAAAAAAACAACTTACTACACCAAACTTGACAACCCACTACACCAAACTTGATAACCCACTAAACTTGACAACCCACTACCCCAAACTTAACCCACTACACCAAACTTGACAACCCACTACCCCAAACTTAACCCACTACACCAAACTTGACAACCCACTACCCCAAACTTAACCCACTACACCAAACTTGACAACCCACTACACCAAACTTGACAACCCACTACACCAAACTTGATGACCCACTACACCAAACTTGATAACCCACTAAACTTGACAACCCACTACCCCAAACTTAACCCACTACACCAAACTTGATGACCCACTACACCAAACTTGACAACCCACTACCCCAAACTTGACAACCCACTACACCAAACTTGATGACCCATTACACTAAACTTGATAACCCACTACCTTGAATTGAATGTTTTAAATAAATTATTTAAAAAAAGTATTTCTATACAGAACTCCAATCTTAGGTTGACTATTTAGGAGTAATATAAGCATACAATAGTATTGTATAGTGAACCATACCTCGAACTTCTGTATCAGGCCTGTAGTTTGGCCCTATGAAATCGATTTTGAAGGGTGATGGCATAACTTGAGGGAATTTCCCACTAGGTGAAAACATGGGCATGAGATCATCACAGGAACAACATTGAGTTGGTGGATTGACAGCAGCTTGTGTCAATGTTGGCCACAACAACACCAGCAAGAGAAGCTCCACAGTAGATTTCATGGTGCACTCAGCAACTGTCACAGGACACGATAAGGGGTTAGATACGGACAAGATGTGGGGACAAGACGTGGGGTTAGACTTGGACAAGACATGGGGTTAGACTTGGACAAGACGTGGGGTTAGACTTGGACAAGACGTGGGGTTAGACTTGGACAAGACGTGGGGTTAGACTTGGACAAGACGTGGGGTTAGACTTGGACAAGATGTGGGGTTAGACTTGGACAAGACGTGGGGTTAGACTTGGACAAGACATGGGGACAAGACATGGGGTTAGACTTGGACAAGACATGGGGTTAGACTTGGACAAGACGTGGGGACAAGATGTGGGGACAAGACGTGGGGTTAGACTTGGACAAGACATGGGGTTAGACTTGGACAAGACGTGGGGTTAGACTTGGACAAGACATGGGGTTAGACTTGGACAAGACGTGGGGTTAGACTTGGACAAGACGTGGGGTTAGACTTGGACAAGACGTGGGGTTAGACTTGGACAAGACGTGGGGTTAGACTTGGACAAGACGTGGGGACAAGACGTGGGGACAAGACGTGGGGTTAGACTTGGACAAGACGTGGGGTTAGACTTGGACAAGACGTGGGGTTAGACTTGGACAAGACGTGGGGACAAGACGTGGGGTTAGACTTGGACAAGACGTGGGGTTAGACTTGGACAAGACGTGGGGTTAGACTTGGACAAGATGTGGGGTTAGACTTGGACAAGACGTGGGGACAAGACGTGGGGTTAGACTTGGACAAGACGTGGGGTTAGACTTGGACAAGACATGGGGACAAGACATGGGGTTAGACTTGGACAAGACGTGGGGACAAGACGTGGGGTTAGACTTGGACAAGACATGGGGTTAGACTTGGACAAGACGTGGGGTTAGACTTGGACAAGACGTGGGGACAAGACGTGGGGTTAGACTTGGACAAGACGTGGGGTTAGACTTGGACAAGACGTGGGGTTAGACTTGGACAAGATGTGGGGTTAGACTTGGACAAGACGTGGGGACAAGACGTGGGGTTAGACTTGGACAAGATGTGGGGTTAGACTTGGACAAGACATGGGGACAAGACATGGGGTTAGACTTGGACAAGATGTGGGGTTAGACTTGGACAAGATGTGGGGTTAGACTTGGACAAGACATGGGGTTAGACTTGGACAAGACATGGGGTTAGACTTGGACAAGATGTGGGGTTAGACTTGGACAAGACATGGGGTTAGACTTGGACAAGACATGGGGTTAGACTTGGACAAGACATGGGGTTAGACTTGGACAAGACATGGGGACAAGACGTGGGGTTAGACTTGGACAAGACGTGGGGTTAGACTTGGACAAGACATGGGGTTAGACTTGGACAAGACATGGGGTTAGACTTGGACAAGACGTGGGGTTAGACTTGGACAAGACGTGGGGTTAGACTTGGACAAGACATGGGGTTAGACTTGGACAAGACATGGGGTTAGACTTGGACAAGACGTGGGGTTAGACTTGGACAAGATGTGGGGTTAGACTTGGACAAGACATGGGGTTAGACTTGGACAAGACATGGGGTTAGACTTGGACAAGACATGGGGACAAGACGTGGGGTTAGACTTGGACAAGACGTGGGGTTAGACTTGGACAAGACATGGGGTTAGACTTGGACAAGACATGGGGTTAGACTTGGACAAGACGTGGGGTTAGACTTGGACAAGACGTGGGGTTAGACTTGGACAAGACGTGGGGTTAGACTTGGACAAGACGTGGGGACAAGACGTGGGGTTAGACTTGGACAAGACGTGGGGACAAGACGTGGGGTTAGACTTGGACAAGACGTGGGGTTAGACTTGGACAAGATGTGGGGTCCATCTCTAAACTACACGGCAAGTTCAAATAAGCCAAAAAAAAAATCATGTGTAGTCTAAACTAAATTTTAAACCAATCCTGAAAAAAAAAATGACGTCACGCCAATGTTGGGTAACCCTAAGCTAGCATAGCAGTAGATGTACTATGTACGCTTGCGTGATGGGCGGAAAACAGATCAACGGTAAAGAGGCACCACGAGAACCGGCGAGACTAATTATGTATGCCCAAACTAGGTCACAAGATGTGGCGAGACTAGCGATTGGATAGGCCTATACCCGGTCCAAATTATTAGTAAATTATGACGCTATTTAACCTCATGCATAATAAACTTGGACCAGTTTTGTGTATATTGCTTTTTACATTATTTTATTAATGTAAGTGGTTATTTTTTTAAAAATAATTTGTAAAAAGTGCCGTTATTGAAAAATGCATCGTCTTTTCCCTGGACCGTAGGGGAAGTAAGATTGTTTTGATGCCCAGGTCGGTAAGTGGTTAAATTAATAAATAAAATCATTAAAGATATACGGCCAACTTTGAAAAATTGGTGTTAAAAACAGCTTAAAGGTAAATGATAGCACAAAACTTTTTTGAGTGATTATTTCTTGATTTGACCTATATTACTGCAAATAATAACCAAAAATCAAGTTTAAACAGAATTTTAGGTCTATTTTCATGATTTGTGGAGGTGGGGGAGGGGTGTGCAGAGGACTCTTGAAACTACATTGATTAATATTGCTATTTGATATTTTGTTTTTTGGTCTGTATGCAAGTAACCATATTTAGAATATTAAGTAACATAGAACTATGTAAACATTAAGTACTACAAGTATACATTATGAATAAAAGAAAAAAAAATTATTTAACCAAAGTTAAGTACTAGATCATCAATTAAATTTTAAAAAATATGTTTTGCCAAAGTTGAAAAAGCTAATAGATTAGGAATGCAAGAAGAAAATTTGTATTTAAAGTGAAGAGCTAGGTAATAAATTCAATAGGTGAAAAAAGTAGGCCCTACATGTTATAGACATTAAGACATTTAATTTGTCAGAAGTAGGGAGAAAAACATTGATTTCTCAATTATAGAATTTTTTTTACTAAAAGGTCAGAGAAGCTGTTCCTAATACTCCATTTAAAAAAAACACATTTTCTGGCTTATGGGAAGATGATCTGATGTTTTACGTGTAAATTCATTCAAGAAAGACTAGCAGAGAGGAGATTCTATCTACAGACTAAGTGGAGTAGTAAACTCATAAGGAATTCCAAACATTGCTTAGTTCATAATTTTCTCACTTGAAAAAAAGCTACTGATAAGAATTTGAAGGTTTTACATGTGTGGGAAGGAACTGCTAAGTTAACTGGCAAAGAGGTGGTTACTATGGTTACCATGCCCTGGGTTCTTTGAGGTACAAAAAAAAAATATTTGCCAAGTTTAAGAAAACAAGATGCCTCACTAAGTATTAGGAAACTAAACATTTTGGCATTTAGAAATATAGTGCAGTGTAAAGGACAGTAGTTTTGTAAGTATAAAAATTAAAAACTATAAATATTTCAAAAAGTAGTTTCAAACAAATTAATATTTCTCAAAGTGCTACATTTTTCAAATGAATTATTAAGTAATATAAATCCAAACTGTAAACTCATACAAAATTATTGAAATTTTTTTTTTTTAAATATTAAACACAGGAATAATGAATCTTTAAAATCAAGTCCCAATTTAAATAATCACTTAGTGTTAAATAACAAAATGCAAGGCAAACCTTTCAGTTATTTCAGATGAATATACATTTAGATTAGCTATCTTGCTAATCCAGCCATTCCCTCACCTCCCACACAAGAAACTGAACACACAGGTTCATCTCCCCACCTAGCCCCCACAGGTTAGGTTCATGCTAAGCTTGACTTGTGGCAACCAGTAAGACAGGATAAACCCACTAGACACTCAAGGGCCCACCACGCTTAACTTTTTTATCAAGCAATAGGTGTGCTTTATTTTTAGCTTCATCTTTCAAATATTTATACAAAGAACACAGAAAAGGGGTTGAGTCATTACTACAGTAATGGTGACATGGGATTGTATTGTCAGGTACTACAGTAATGGTGACATGGGATTGTTTTGTCAGGTACTACAGTAATGGTGACATGGGATTGTTTTGTTGTATATTGTAACAGTCCAATTAAAATATTAAATGTATCAATGGCTTGTTGTCATTTGTATATGAGGATTGTTGTTGTATGTATATGAGGATTGTTGTCGTATGTAACTCATTAAGTATAAGAGGATTGTTGTCATAAGTATATGACAACAAGCATTAGCTAGGCCAATGCAAAAATTTAATTTCAGTTAAACAATATAATAGTTACATATTTGGATAGGGGCTGTCAATCTGATTACAGATCAGTTTGAATTTTCAAAATCTGACCATAAACAAAAAAGTTATGAATTTTTTTGTCATTAAAAAACAGCAGTTTTTTCAGACAACCGGGGTAGACCCTGAAAGAGGAAAAATACTGAGAGGGTATGGACCAAATTTTTAAGAGTTTTTCACTAAAAGTGGTATAAAAGCAAGCAGACTTCACCAATTGATGTTATTTTATGATATTTTGTAGACTTTTGTATGCCGAATCCAATGATGCTATTTTAAAAAGTGTCTTTTGATTACATAACAGACTTATTTCATGGATTATGTAATACCCCCCATTCTTTTTTTTTACAACATCTGATAATCCGTGTGATAAGAAGTCATTCTTTAAATTAAACACTGTTTTAAACCATAATATGACATTTGTATATGCTGAAGCTAATGGTGATATTTAAAATGGTCGAACATTATTACAAAACTATAAAGGTCAGGTTATGTAATTCGCACCTTTTGCTCATAATTTACCATGTATTTATTTTAAAATCTCTTTTGCTCATTGTCAGTTAACTTAAGTGAATAGCCTACTTAAAGAAAAGATAACTAATACAGTTTTAATACAAAGAGAAGGATGCTATAACAATAGTATATTTGTGATGATGTAACTTCTTAAAATATGTTATGTAATCTATGTGCAATCGTACAGGCCTACTCTATTCCAAAAATATAGGCATATCTTATTATATTTATATTTCTTGTTACTTTAAATGTCATACCATTGATACAACTTTCTTCTATGGAATTAGCCTA